TTATAATTACATAACATGTGTAGCAATAATTAATAAAAAGAAATATGGTAGCTAGTAATCTTATACTGGATCTTCGATTTTGCAACAATATATTCAATAGAGATTAACTCTCTTTTGATGTCTACTTTATATCAATTTATTTCTCTTGACTTTCACCTTTAATATTCTTCAAAAGAATAGTTAAACGAGAGTTCTTAATTAGTCTTCACTAAAATTGACAATTTTAAGACAAAAAAAATTATGCTTGTGATATAATTTCAACATCCAACAAATATTTTCTTTAAAGTGATATTCAAGAGTATCATATACTTCTTATTTTTTCAAATTTCTCTTGTCGATAATTCACTTTCACTATTTGACTTCCACTAACTTTTGGAATGTTTATATAGGATAATAAACTATATATCCTTTTTATAATATAATATTAATGGTATGATAATTCATAAATTAGTAAATTCAAAACTTTTAGTACAAAACACATACATGATTTACAAACTTTATATATGGAAAATAAATATCACAATAAAATACATCATGCTTATGGATATAGAAATATCTTAAATGACATTTAGTTCATAACTTTAATTAATTATTTCTTCCTTATAAAATAACTCTTTTGTAAAATTGTCTAGGATGCTATGGCTACTTCTAAACATGTAATTCTTATATTAATTCATGAATTAATCATTTATCATAATTTACAATATAAAAATTTACAAATTACATATATAATTGCAAAGTTTAAACATGATCACTCATTATTCATAATATGAGATAAATGTAAATTATGTATACATTTGTGAATCTGATGACATAAAACTTGCCTGTAGACTAAAACTTTACTCAATTTGATTATTCACATAACCTTATGATAAAACTATCAAATTATGCTTCTTTTCTTAATCCCTATGGGTAAATTAAGAAATATAATTTGATATTTTAACTTAATTGATTATACATATAACAATAATTCATGTGAGATAAACTTATTATATTTAAATATAATTAATCACAATATTATGTCTAATTCTTTACGTGATTTTAAGCAACAAACTATATAATTTAATTAATTAAAAATGTTCTAATTAATCAATAATTAATCAAAATTATAAGCATCACTAGACAAATATTCCTTATTTTTAGAAACTTTATGATTCTCGTAATCATCAAGATTTGAGACACATTATAACTCACAATTTGAATTGAAAATATGATAATTTTTGCTCAATACCAATTGTCATTATAAATTAAAATTAACAATTATAACTCAATTCAAATCATGAAAATAATCACGATAGTTTTAATTAATATAAATTAAAATTAAATTAAATTATAGCAATTAATGTGAGTTAAGACACAATCATCTTCTCAAAATTATAAACATATATGCACAATAAGGATTGGAACAATAATAACCCATCAACATCATGAATATATTCATTCCTGTGTATATTTTTATTTTATAAATCTATTCGATTAAAAAACATATCAATTATGAAAAAGAGATTAAATATAGAAGATGTATGCATTTAATTCAAATAATCCAATATAATTGAACTATAAATTTTAGACAATATATTAATCCATTCATTTAAAATAAAAATAATAGATCATTGATCATTAATACATATATGATTGTATCAGATATAACAATAATAGGTATATAATCAATTGTCTCAATAACAATTAATAGGTAATGACGATTCAATAAAAAAATATGTCCATAATATCCATGCCTGAGATGGTGAGAATTAAGTTACTTGGCTGCAAATAATTCAATTTATATTGTTTAGCAAAATAGTCATATCAATATGCTTACATACATGTCCAAGGAGATTATTGCAGTGTTCTGTGTCTGAAAATTCCCTGTTTTTCTTCCCACTTACAATCTCTAATACTATCACACCATAACTAAAAACATCTGATTTCATTGAGAAGTGTCCACGTGCAGCATACTCAGGAGGGATATAACCACTGAAAATTAAATTTTCCATGTTAAATAATTAAAAACTGACTCTGCAATATCAAAGAATCATAATCAGATAGAAACTTACTAAGTTCCAGCCACCTTATTTGTTTTTGCCTCAACTTGATCTCCCAAAAATAATCTAGCCAAACCAAAATCTGATATTTTGGGATTTAAATTTGTATCTAGTAAAACATTGCTTGTTTTTAAATCTCTATGAATAATTCTCAGCATAGAGTCTTGATGAAGATACAGAAGTCCTCTAGCAATACCACTAATAATGTTGAAACGCTTGTGCCAATCTAGCAACTTCCTTTTGGTTTCATCTAGTAGAAAATACTCACATATTTAGCATAGCATTTGCTAAGAAGCATTGGAATAGATCGTAAAGGGACCTACCAAAAACAAAGTAGTCCAAGCTATGGTTGGGCATGTATTCATAAATCAGCATTTTTTCCTCTCCTTCAATGCAGCAACCAAGAAGCTTTACAAGATTACGGTGCTGAAGTTTGGAAATCAATGCCACTTCATTTTTGAACTCTTCCAACCCTTGTCCAGATTCTTTTGAAAGCCTTTTCACAGCTAACTCTTTCCCATCTATCAGTGTGCCCTGAAAAATTTCTGCTTTATTTAGAAAGCTTTTAAGGAAAATAGAAGTTCTGGATATTAGTTTGCTTAATCACCTTGTATACTGGTCCAAAACCACCTTCTCCAAGTTTGTTTTTGGTTGAAAAGTTTTCAGTGGCATTAGCTAAGACTGAGAAACTGAAAGTTGGCAAATCAATGTCTTCCTTCCTCAGTATATTTTTGTAATGCCTGTTGTAAATTTTTCTTGCAACCCCTGATTGGTTTGAAAATAACAGTGTATAAACATGGACTCGTAATATGCACATATATTGTATTCAGCCTAATTGCCTGTATTAAATGCTAAATTATATCTATATACTTACCTGGATTTTTATTTATCAATATGCATGCACATATGCTGATTAATCCAAAAATAGTCACACCAACAGTGATTACTACTATCTTTATCTTGATTTTTCTGTGGCCGCCATGATCTAAAAGAAACAGAGCTTGATTAGTCACCAACTTTAAAATAAACAGCTCAATTAACAGAAGCTACGAAGAGAGTGAGTGTAGGGTTGTTTATTTAATATGAGTACGGGAGAAACACCTTGTATTTAATTTAAAAAATAAATGTCATAATAATTAACATACTCTACTAATAATTTTTTATGAAATTGTCAGCAAAATCTTGAAACCACAGATCTTAGTTTGATTTATTGTCTCCCTTTGACATGGCATTTCAAACCGCAATAATAAAATGTTTGTTTTACTCACCTATGAATGTTTTCACTTTTCATGGCCTAAGTCTTAACCCTACTCCACCCTTTTCTCTTAGACTTATGCAATACTCAACAAGAAATCAAACGGGAAAAGAGAGCAAAGAAGTCAAAGGCAAAAATCAAAAACAAAATCCAAAATTTGATGCAGTACCTAATTCTGAAGCAGGGAGTCTGATATAAAAGTCTTGTCCCTCTTGAGAGAAGTTCATCATGTCAACTAGAGTATTAAACCAAAGTAGACAGCCACTTCCTCCATCACGGATATCTAAATTTGCATATGCTGTACAAGAACAGTTTTTAAGACACGACTTCCTGCATTCTTCAAGGTTCATGGTCTTACTAAACCATGATGAAGAGGTGTCTGGCAATTTCATGTTTGTGTACTTGAAGAAGCCATCTGTATAACTGTTTTTGCAACTAGATTTATTCATTGGAACACAACCGTTGGACCAAATTGCTGTATTCCGTTGATCATGATACATGGGAACATACCCTCTCAGGCATTCACTGTTGAATATGGTGTGGCAAATTTAGTCCCACATCGAATAAGTTTTTTTTGATGTGGCCAAATTAGTCCCACATTGGATAGGTTTGGGAATGTGTAGTGCCTTAGGTTCTATATATAGAAACCCTTCCCTTCACTTTGAAATCATCCCAACTACAAGTTCATTTGTAACTTCTAAGGCTTGTAGTTTTCTCTTCTCTCTCTATTGTAATATTTCTTAGTGAAATATATTTGGTAGTGTCCGAGGAAGTAGGCATAATTGGCTGAACCTCGTTAAATTCTTGGTGTTCTTTCTTTCTTGTTTTGCTTTTGGTTTAAAATTTGCTAGACGTTTCCGCAACAATTGGTATCAAGAGCCAGGTTATTTTAAGGAAAAAACACTATGCTCTGTGCGCTGTAGGTATTCTATAGTCGGCACATCAGAAAATTTTTCCTTAATCCTGGATTTTTTATTATTTGACATTTAGCAAATTTTAAACCTCTGTTCAAATTGAGCTGAGATGGCAAACGAAGAAAATCCACTTAGAATTACATCATCAACTTTGAATGCTTCTTCAAGCATTTTGCAAAGAGCTGTTGGTGGGAATCCAAGGTTGATGGTAGAGATTTTCGATGGCAGCGGTCATTTCGGCATGTGGCAAAGTGAGGTTCTAGATGCTCTTTTTCAGCAAGGTCTAGACATTACAATTGAAGGAAAGAAACCAGAAAGTATGGGAGAGGAAGATTGGAAGACCCTCAATCGATTGGCATGTGGTACAATAAGGTCATGCTTATCAAGAGAGCAGAAGTATGCATTCTGCAAAGAGACCTCTGCTAGTAAGTTGATGACGGAGTTGGAGGAAAAGTTCTTGAAGAAAAGCAGTCAGAATAAACTTCACATGAAGAAAAGGCTGTTTCGGTTCACTTACATTCCTGGTGCGCTACATTTGAATCTGCAACAGTCTTAGATTGACCTTTGTTTTTTAGTTTAGGACAATCTTTCTTCCAATGCCCCTTTTCTCGACAAAAGGCACACTCATCTTTCCCAACTTTAGCCTTCGACTTCGATCGCTTCTTCTTTCCTTTCGCCTGGATCACCGGACGTCCTCTTGCAACCAAAGCTTCATTAGCCTTCTCTGAGCTATCTTTTTTGTCTTTTCTCCTCAGTTCATAGCTGTATAGGGCTCCACAAACTTCATTTAGAGACACAGCAACCTTCCCATGGAGTAGAGTTGTTTCCAGAAACTCAAACTCTTCAGGAAGTGATCCCAACAACATTAGGGCAAGATCCTCATCTTCAAAAGTCACGTCCAGGTTTAACAAATCAGCAACAAGCTGATTAAAACTAGTGATGTGATCATTCATTGTGGCACCAGGAATGTAAGTGAACCGAAACAGCCTTTTCTTCATGTGAAGTTTATTCTGACTGCTTTTCTTCAAGAACTTTTCCTCCAACTCCGTCATCAACTTACTAGCAGAGGTCTCTTTGCAGAATGCATACTTCTGCTCTCTTGATAAGCATGACCTTATTGTACCACATGCCAATCGATTGAGGGTCTTCCAATCTTCCTCTCCCATACTTTCTGGTTTCTTTCCTTCAATTGTAATGTCTAGACCTTGCTGAAAAAGAGCATCTAGAACCTCACTTTGCCACATGCCGAAATGACCGCTGCCATCGAAAATCTCTACCATCAACCTTGGATTCCCACCAACAGCTCTTTGCAAAATGCTTGAAGAAGCATTCAAAGTTGATGATGTAATTCTAAGTGGATTTTCTTCGTTTGCCATCTCAGCTCAATTTGAACAGAGGTTTAAAATTTGCTAAATGTCAAATAATAAAAAATCCAGGATTAAGGAAAAATTTTCTGATGTGCCGACTATAGAATACCTACAGCGCACAGAGCATAGTGTTTTTTCCTTAAAATAACCTGGCTCTTGATACCAATTGTTGCGGAAACGTCTAGCAAATTTTAAACCAAAAGCAAAACAAGAAAGAAAGAACACCAAGAATTTAACGAGGTTCAGCCAATTATGCCTACTTCCTCGGACACTACCAAATATATTTCACTAAGAAATATTACAATAGAGAGAGAAGAGAAAACTACAAGCCTTAGAAGTTACAAATGAACTTGTAGTTGGGATGATTTCAAAGTGAAGGGAAGGGTTTCTATATATAGAACCTAAGGCACTACACATTCCCAAACCTATCCAATGTGGGACTAATTTGGCCACATCAAAAAAAACTTATTCGATGTGGGACTAAATTTGCCACACCATATTCAACAGTGAATGCCTGAGAGGGTATGTTCCCATGTATCATGATCAACGGAATACAGCAATTTGGTCCAACGGTTGTGTTCCAATGAATAAATCTAGTTGCAAAAACAGTTATACAGATGGCTTCTTCAAGTACACAAACATGAAATTGCCAGACACCTCTTCATCATGGTTTAGTAAGACCATGAACCTTGAAGAATGCAGGAAGTCGTGTCTTAAAAACTGTTCTTGTACAGCATATGCAAATTTAGATATCCGTGATGGAGGAAGTGGCTGTCTACTTTGGTTTAATACTCTAGTTGACATGATGAACTTCTCTCAAGAGGGACAAGACTTTTATATCAGACTCCCTGCTTCAGAATTAGGTACTGCATCAAATTTTGGATTTTGTTTTTGATTTTTGCCTTTGACTTCTTTGCTCTCTTTTCCCGTTTGATTTCTTGTTGAGTATTGCATAAGTCTAAGAGAAAAGGGTGGAGTAGGGTTAAGACTTAGGCCATGAAAAGTGAAAACATTCATAGGTGAGTAAAACAAACATTTTATTATTGCGGTTTGAAATGCCATGTCAAAGGGAGACAATAAATCAAACTAAGATCTGTGGTTTCAAGATTTTGCTGACAATTTCATAAAAAATTATTAGTAGAGTATGTTAATTATTATGACATTTATTTTTTAAATTAAATACAAGGTGTTTCTCCCGTACTCATATTAAATAAACAACCCTACACTCACTCTCTTCGTAGCTTCTGTTAATTGAGCTGTTTATTTTAAAGTTGGTGACTAATCAAGCTCTGTTTCTTTTAGATCATGGCGGCCACAGAAAAATCAAGATAAAGATAGTAGTAATCACTGTTGGTGTGACTATTTTTGGATTAATCAGCATATGTGCATGCATATTGATAAATAAAAATCCAGGTAAGTATATAGATATAATTTAGCATTTAATACAGGCAATTAGGCTGAATACAATATATGTGCATATTACGAGTCCATGTTTATACACTGTTATTTTCAAACCAATCAGGGGTTGCAAGAAAAATTTACAACAGGCATTACAAAAATATACTGAGGAAGGAAGACATTGATTTGCCAACTTTCAGTTTCTCAGTCTTAGCTAATGCCACTGAAAACTTTTCAACCAAAAACAAACTTGGAGAAGGTGGTTTTGGACCAGTATACAAGGTGATTAAGCAAACTAATATCCAGAACTTCTATTTTCCTTAAAAGCTTTCTAAATAAAGCAGAAATTTTTCAGGGCACACTGATAGATGGGAAAGAGTTAGCTGTGAAAAGGCTTTCAAAAGAATCTGGACAAGGGTTGGAAGAGTTCAAAAATGAAGTGGCATTGATTTCCAAACTTCAGCACCGTAATCTTGTAAAGCTTCTTGGTTGCTGCATTGAAGGAGAGGAAAAAATGCTGATTTATGAATACATGCCCAACCATAGCTTGGACTACTTTGTTTTTGGTAGGTCCCTTTACGATCTATTCCAATGCTTCTTAGCAAATGCTATGCTAAATATGTGAGTATTTTCTACTAGATGAAACCAAAAGGAAGTTGCTAGATTGGCACAAGCGTTTCAACATTATTAGTGGTATTGCTAGAGGACTTCTGTATCTTCATCAAGACTCTATGCTGAGAATTATTCATAGAGATTTAAAAACAAGCAATGTTTTACTAGATACAAATTTAAATCCCAAAATATCAGATTTTGGTTTGGCTAGATTATTTTTGGGAGATCAAGTTGAGGCAAAAACAAATAAGGTGGCTGGAACTTAGTAAGTTTCTATCTGATTATGATTCTTTGATATTGCAGAGTCAGTTTTTAATTATTTAACATGGAAAATTTAATTTTCAGTGGTTATATCCCTCCTGAGTATGCTGCACGTGGACACTTCTCAATGAAATCAGATGTTTTTAGTTATGGTGTGATAGTATTAGAGATTGTAAGTGGGAAGAAAAACAGGGAATTTTCAGACACAGAACACTGCAATAATCTCCTTGGACATGTATGTAAGCATATTGATATGACTATTTTGCTAAACAATATAAATTGAATTATTTGCAGCCAAGTAACTTAATTCTCACCATCTCAGGCATGGATATTATGGACCAAAGAGAGAGCACTGGAACTATTGGATGAATTGTTAGGAGAACAATGCTTGCCGTCTGAAGTCATACGATGCATACAAGTAGGCCTATTATGTGTGCAACAAAGACCAAAAGATAGACCAGATATGTCATCAGCGGTTTTAATGTTGAATGGTGATAAACTATTGCCAAAGCCAAAGGTTCCTGGTTTTTACACAGAAACAGATGTTAAACCTGAAACAAATTGTTCATCAGGAAATCACAAGTTGTTCTCAGTTAATGAAGTTTCCATCACAACGTTAGATGCAAGATAGGAAATGGAGGCAAGAAAATGTTAAGGCTTGGCTTGACCTTCGAATGTGGGATGTATCGGTTATTTGAACATGCATAATTTGTGAAAGTGATGTTACGAGCTTCAGCTTTATGTTTGTTTCATGCATCCAAATACACGTAACCAAAGAGTTCTACAACAGAGACAAAAATCGTTAATTGCAATTTGCAATAGAACATGGTTGTGAAGCTTTTCTGGTGCTGGATATCATGAAACAACCTATATCCCTCTAAGTTTGTTCAGCACTTCACAAAAAAGCAAAAAACTTAGAACTTTACGTCACAGAAACAGATGTTATTTCTAAGTGATATATATTTTTT